GCGAAAACTCATTTGTCAAAAAATAAAACCGCTAATGTGATGGGATTTAAACAGCAGAGTCCAAAATCAAGAGAAAAATTAACTTTTCTTTCTATTGAGTTAGAATAATGAAATTTTAATTACAGATTTGATGGTTTCAAGTAAAGCAAAAAATGTTTTTCCTTTGCGGTTTTGGCGTAAAATTAAAGATATTTTTTTCCTCTTCTAAATCTAATCCGGGAACATACTGTATAATGTTTTAAGGAAAAAGACACACTCGAATCAATTTAAATATTTCTTAACAGGGGAGAAAATGTAATTAATATTCACAATTTTATAAAAATAACGTATTTACTTCTTGAACTTTAAAAATTATTATTATACAATATCATGTGCATAGGTTACACATTTTACAAAAAGAGTGTTCTGGAAATAATATTCGACATCACATGGACACACAAAAAGTTGTAAAACTCGTTGGGTGTCTTTCGGTTAAGATTTAATCGGGCCATTAAAGAGATATTAATTTTAATCAGCAATGATGTCAATTGCGTGTAATTTTCAGATTTGAACATTGCAACCGAGTTAAGTCTCTGTTGCGTTTAAAAAAGAAATTAAAACTAGATAAAGGATGTATTTCGATTTGGAATTACACCACTTATTTAGATTATAATAGAAAAATCACCGTTCCCTCAATAAATTGCATATTCTAACTAAAGTCAGCTTTTATTAAACTGATTTCTACCTAGAGTTATTTCCGGTGGCACTTATTATAAACAGTGACTTAATTTATATAGTCAGGTGTTTGTACCTTCAACAAAGTCGCTTTTTGCAAGGTTATCTTCACAAGATTAATTATTTTTCAGAATATACTATACATTCAAGGAATGACTCAGTTTGTGATACTACAAAAAAGAACTTGGTGTGGTTTATATAAACGTAGCTTGTAACATTGGCCTTACAATATTTTTCAATCGAATGTCGACAAGTGCGGCGCGTTTAAAATGAATCCGACTTGCACTCTCGTTTTGTCAGTGCTTATGTGCGTAGGTTATTCCACTTCGAGAAAAATACGTGAGTTGACAAAATCTTCATCTCTTTGACTCTTCTTCCCTAATCCAAATTTCGATTTTAATTAATTGCGAAAAAAAATTGGATATTTCACAATTCACTACAAGAATTTTAAGCTTTGTTTTGTAAAAACTTGATTACAATTGAACTATTTCTAAATACGATTTATGATGAAAACAACCTTTAAGTTAGATTGAAATATGCTGATCATTACGAAGAATGAAAATTTCACAATTTAACCTGAGACAAGTTTTCTATAAATATTCCAAGAATCCTTCTAGTTATTTCACTCCTGGAATAATTTAGCAACCAAATAATTTTATAGACAGTTTGTGTGAATAAAAGTGAAATTTCTAGTTGTTTGCTTTTTTCTTTACTCATACTTATTGTGATCAAGGACAATTCTTACGTTTATTCAAGATAAAGTTTATAAATTAAAAAATATATTCATTGCACCATTGAGATATGTGAATATTAATTAGTAATTATTGTTAGAAGAGTATTTTTATTTTGCATAAATAAATAGTGATAATAATAAATAATAATAATTTGTTAATATTGACTATGACATCAATTTAAGCATCAAACAGGAATTTAGTAAAAAATGTTTTGCTGTTCAAAATTCTTATAAACTGTGTAAAAGTGAGTAATTGCTGTTTATTTCATTTCTCACATTTTAGGAAAACTTGCTTGTGTATGCGTAACATCCGCTATTTATTTTAGTAAAAAATCTTGTTATTTAAATTATTACAGCGGTACAAAGTGCAAAAAGTACTCACTGTAGTATTGTAAACTTCAAACGTAATTTGAATCATGACTTGTTTAATTTAAGTTGTAATAAACAGTACCTAATTATAGTTTTTTAATTTTTATTGTTAATTTAATTTAATCGTTTTGACTTTTTATTATTTATTTTTCTTATACTAAACTACAATAATTACAAAAAAAAATTCCAGCTTCGTATGTATCCCTATGCCACCGCGAGGACCCGAAACTAGAACAATGCTTCATAAACGCAGTGGAACAAATCCGGCCATATTTCCGAGAAGGAGTTCCGGACCTGTTCATCCCTCCCATGGACCCCCTTGTTATACCCCAAGCCGGTCTTAACAGCGGCGACAACTTCAAAGCCTCGTTCAAAAACATTCAAATTTATTACGCTGATGAATTTAAAATCGATCATTTAAAAGTGGACCTAAATAAAGTCCACATTGATTTGATTGTCAGTTTCCCAAGGTTAAGGATCAAATCTACGTATAATATCGATGGAAGAATTTTAATTTTAACACTTAAGGGACAAGGTCCTGCTGATGGCAATTTTAGTAAGTCGTAATTTAGTGTTTTTGCTTTTTAATAATAATGTTTTTATTACAGCAAATGTGGGTGCGAAGCTGACTGTTGATGGAGAAAGATATTTCAAAAAAGGGAAAGAGTTTATTGCGATAACCGATAAAAAGTTGGATTTGTCGTTAGGAAAACCTGTGTTTTATTTTGATAACTTTTTCCGGGATAATCCAGAACTGAATGAGCAAACTAACAAGATTATAAATGAAAATATTGTTGATATTTTAGACGAGTTGAGGCCTGTGGTGGATCAGACGGTCACTGAATTTGTTCTTGGGATAGTGACGAGGTTATTCAATCGGTATTCCATGGATGAACTCTTTCCTAATTAAATTATTATTTATTTTTATTAAGTACTCATTTTTGTAAAATAGGTTAAGCAATAAAATATTTTTTCAGTTATTAGAAATTATTTAAAAAATATATCCTTCTCAACGCTCTAAAAACAAACCAAAAAATAACGAAATTTTATTTGGTTAAATGTTATTTTTTTTAAATACGTTAATCTACAACATTTCTCACTATGCATCAATGGTAGTAAAAGTATTGCAAAAAAATAAAAATTTTAAAAGCTTGAGTTTAAAAAAACGCATAGCATTTTTTTTATTTTTTAAACTGTTTTGTTTAATTAAGTACTTATTAAATTTACACCTAGGCAGAAAATCATATTGTTTACAAGAACAGTCCTTAAAATAAGGTTAAAATAAAGTCAATTACAAAGAAAAATTTACTGTAGGCCAACTAGTAAATACTTAATTCCTCAAAAGATTGCAAGATTTTATTTAGCTTATGAAAAAGAAAGAACAAAAAAATAATAAATTTAAAATAATGTAAATAGAAAATAAAATAATTTGAAAACAATAAATTTAAATTATAATGTTTTTTCTCGATGTCCTTTATTTGCACTCTTTGAACTACATTCCTGGCTAGGGAGCTAAATACTCAAAATACTCAAAATTATATTTGAAATTAAAATTAGATATTATGCACCCAACATTGTATGCGTGCACACTTCATGGACTATTTCGTTTACTTTGCGGACGATTTTGACATAATTTTCGGGGAGTATTCTTCTTTTTTAGTTCGCTGGGGCGCTCTGCGCCCTAGCCTGCCCGCCCGAGTCTACCCGCTACGAACTGTGCTCGTTTCAGATGAAGCAAAAAATGTTTTTCCTTTGCAGTTTTAGAGTAGAATTAAAGAGAAATTTTTATTTAATGTTGGGTGCATAATATCTAATTTTAATTTCAAATATAATTTCAAATATAATTTTGATTTCAGGAAAAACGTATGTATAACATTAAAAATTAATTGGGTGCTTTCTTATATCTACAGAAAAATTTCTCTTTAATTCTACGCCAAAACTGCAAAGGAAAAACATTTTTTGCTTCATCTGAAACGAGCAAATCTGTAATTAAACGTTATTATTCTGACTCAGTAGAAAGAAAAATTTATTTTTGTCTTGATTTTGGACTGCTTTTCTATCACATTGGTAGTTTTATTTTTCTGACAACGGTGTCACTTTGAATAAATGAGTTTACGCAAGTAAATAACAAAAAGGTTTTTGAAAAACATAATTTTAATAAATATCAACTCAAAGAAACAGCTTTAAGATAAAAAATAAAGTCATTTTTAACAAAAACTATCATTATTTAATTAATGAATTAATTTTTAAAGTGACCTCGAAAGTGACAGGCGGTTTTATTTATTTGACAGTTATGTGCCTATATGATAGCAGAAAAAAATCAAGAAAAAAATTAACTTTTCATTTCACTGAATCAGAATAATGAATTTAGTTACAGATTTGCTCGTTTCAAGTGAAGCAAAAAATGTCTTTCCTTTGCAGTGGTGTCGTAAAATCAAAGATATTTTTTTTCCTCTTGTAAACCCCATTCTGGAACATACTGTATATACACTGCCCTACAAAATTAACCGGACACCTAAAATTTTGCGATTTTTCACATTGCAATATTTTTGTTATTCTTTGTCGGATTTCAACAAATTTTTGTTTGGATTAAAGAATGAAGTTTGCAGAACATTCTAATTTAATTCAATAACATTTCCAATTTTGTCTGGTAAATGTTATACATAAAAGAAGAAAGCACTGCTTTTTTACTGTTTTTTATACTGAGCTGTGGTGTGCGGCATAGACAAACTTAAGTTTTTTCTGATTTCAGATTATTACCCATTCTTTTCTATGTGAATTGTATAATGGGTTGCTGTCCAAATTATTTCAGAAGTAACTTGACCCTGTATACTAATAAAAAATGTCTCTGTATATAAGTATTACATTTATTTTGTAAAAATTTAAACACTTCACATTTTTCCTTAGTTTAACGTAACTTATAATATAACTAGTCTAAAAATAGTTCTTGTATTGAAAATTTTTCGAAAATGCGTGCAATCAATCCCAGCACCGTTTGTTCAATTGCGACATGTATAGCTGGTTGCAATTCAAGTAAAAGCTCGTCGATGTTTTCATTAACAATTTCATTCATTTGTCTTGTGAGCTCCAAATTGTCTTTAAAAAGTCCATCAAATTTGAAATCAGCTTTAGACACATGTTCTTTAACTTCCATTTTAAAAAACTTGATATATTCTCTACCTTTCTTTTGGTACCGTCTTCCTTGCAATTTTGTTTCAACTTCTACATTAGCTGCAATTTCAAATTTAAAAATCGTTGTGAAGATATGGAACACTTACTGAAATTTCCGTCGGCTGGTCCGTTTCCGTCGAGTTGAAAAAACAGAATGTGACCTTTGATGTGATAATTTGATTTAATTCTCAGTTTAGGGAAAATTAATTTTGTTTCAAATTCGTTTTTGTTTAGATTAAAATCTATATCTTGAATAATCAATTCATCAAGGTAAAAAATTTCAACATTTCTAAATACAGCGTTAAAACTGTCGTTATTTTCTAGTGAAACTTGGGGGAGAATTAAAGGATTCATTGGAGGTAACCCAAATTCCGGAATTCCACGTTTGAAATTAGCTTTCAATTTGTATACAGCTTCGATGAGGCATGTTTTGGTGGTGTTATCATTACGATAACACTTATTCATATATGATGCTTAAAAGTTTTTTATCAAATACTTCATTGAGTGAAAACTATTAACTTACGAAAACGTTTACAAGTTCCAATTAAACAAATCACCAAAAAAAGCACAGCTTTGTACACCAACATCTTAACGAAAAATTACTAGAGTTTGAGAAAAACAGAGTATTTATATCTTTATGAATTTGTCAATTGTACGTGACCACCAGATCTTCCTCAATTTGTTCATAAAACATACTGTAAACTTTTATGAGGGTTTACTAAGAAAAACAAGTGAGGTTTGCAAACAGAAATGTGATTTTATGGGTTTGGTGTGATATTTTTACGAAAATATTGAACATTGATTTTTTTTTCATTTGTAATGTTTCATCAGAACAACTACTAATTTATTTTTTTCAATTTTGGATGTAACTTTTAACTGTGATTTTTGCTTAGTTTTTTAAATAATTATTTTATTTCTTTAAAAATTTATTACACAATTATTAATAATCCCAAAAAATTCAAATTTTCACTACCTACTTCAAAAAGTCCAAATTTTA